TGGGACAGTAAATCAGGCCAGGAATTTGACTCCACCCCAGGCCACCTCTGTTGCTGCAGTCACCACCACTCAATTCATGTGTCCACCAGACTGCTAAACTTATAGGCTAACCCTGTTAGTTGATGTAACAGGTAGACTACCATACATAATATGAATGGATAAATAAATAAACCCTCAAAAACTCACTAGGAATACACCATCTATACTACCACACCAAAGACAAATATAAAATTGGCTCAAAGGTTTTGCAAATGCAAGACATACTGATCAGAATAGGGAGTGATTACTTTCACTGTATGTCAGCCATTTCCTGTTTGTGCCATCTTTTGAGTGGAAAACATCAGGAATGGCTCTTTCAGTTGTTTGAATTGGGTGATACTTAAAAAATAAATCAAAATCCTTAGACTGTGGACAGGCAAAATAATCAAATGGAGTATCAAGGCATTCACTGTCTCTATCATCTTTCCCTGAATCCCTCTCTCTCTCTCTCTCTAAGGAAAAAAATAATAATGCATGGCCGCTTAGAACTTCCGTACATTAGTACTTTCCAAAAAAAAATTTTTTTTTTAAAGCCAGTTATTTCTATCTTTTGCTGTAGTGTGTCAGCAGGAAATATCAGTTTAATGATTTTTTTTAAGTAAAATATATTTATGACCTTATTTTTGAAAACATCCTCAATTTACAGCATTTTTACATAAGTCCCTAAAACATTTCACCGTACTGTAGCTTTACAGGAAGGTTTCTTCAAGCATCTTGGTTGCCACCGTTATTCTGGATTGAGTCTGTCTCAGTTTGTTCTGCTTCTTCATGTCATTCCAGACAGACTGGATGATGATGAGATCAGATCAGATCTCTGTGTGGAGCACTGGCTGTTCTTAGAAGGCTGTCTCAAAAGGCTGTTGTCTGCATACAAAACTCTCACTGGATTATTATAATTAATAACAAAAGGAATGTTTTGAAATGTAAACTGATATTTCCTACTGACACAAGTGAAAGAAGTGCTGGCCTCAATTACCCATATGACTGTGTTATTCTGTGTTGCTAATGACAATAGTTGTTATCAGGGAATAACACACCTCAAAATGTTGCGGCTGACCAACCAGAATTGAGTATTCAGGTAGCTGTTCAATAATTTCAGTTACTCACTAAGACCAATACAAACATGTTTAAAATAGAGGATAAATAGCTTTAACTAGTGGAAATTTTAACTGAAAGGTTTTTGTTTTTAGTCAAAATAACATTTGTATTTGTTCCTTGTCGTTTATTATATATGGTTTACACTCATTAGCATGTGTTTCTTTTTATAGTGACTCAATAGGAGCCACACAAACACATGAACAGAATTCATGTTCTAAATGTATTATATTTAAAACACAAATACTATTCTTTTGTACTTTGTTCCACTAAACACTGATTGTTTTCTCTTCTGTTCCACCTTACAGTGTAGATGGAGATCCATCACCAAGGGTCCCTGATAGAGTTCAATCATTGAGAGTCCCTGATAGAGTTCAATCATTGAGAGTCCCTGATAGAGTTCAATCATTGAGAGTCCCTGATAGAGTTCAATCATTGAGAGTCCCTGATAGAGTTCAATCATTGAGAGTCCCTGATAGAGTTCAATCACCAAAAGATGATAAATCCTGTATATCATAGTTTGAAATCATGATGAGAGGAGCAGTAAACATTAGGTGAGGATCCACAGAAGAGCTTCACTACTGTGTCTATGAGGATAATTAAATGTGTGATAAATGTGTAAATGTGATCCATACAGGTGGAAGAGACTTTACAATGAAATAATGCAGCATTTGTGTTAGAAATGTGTGATATTGAATGATTAATGTTGCTTTAGTAGTCAAATTATCATTTTGTTTTATTTAAAGGTGGAACTGAGGAGGAAGATGCTCGGATGAGTCTGTCTGGCTCATCAGTTTAAGTCCCACAAATATACTATGTGTATTAAACTGAGTCTGAGTTAGGGACTTTTAATAGTTCCTAGTCACACCCACATCATTTTGATACCAAGAAAAAAAAACACATAGAAGATATTAAACCAGAGATACATTCATAAACCTGAATATAAGCATTTACAGCTTAACTAATACAAATAATGAGTGGTAAGTAGGCTAATATAATAGGGAAACATACAAACAACACATGCATATACCAGATACATTTGTAACTGATTAATTATAGTCTAAATAAAGAAAATGTCTTTATGTATGTGTGTGTTATTTGTATTGTGAGCATGGGGGTAGTTCGCTGGTCATCATTTGGTGCCGGGTACTGAGGATGACTGTCTCCCAGGACATTGAAATGTGTTTGAAGTTCGATGGGAGATGAGCGTGTTGATCTGTTTAGCATCTCCTTGATAGTGGGGGGAACCATTGGCAATTTAGCATCCTTATAAATGCAGAATGTGGGGCCATGTCTGTAATTTATATGCAAATGTCAAAAGGCTAAAAGGGTCTATAAGACATAAAGCCCAAACGATCATCAGTGATCCTAAGCTGATGCTACATATACATCTTCTGAAATCTGAATAAATAAGCTTTCCATTGATGTATGGTTTGTTAGGATCAAACAATATTTGGCCGAGATACTATTTGAAAATCTGGAATCTGAGGGTGCAAAAAAATCTAAATATTGAGAAAATCGCCTTTAAAGTTGTCCAAATGAAGTTCTTAGCAATGCATATTACTAATCAAAAATTACGTTTTGATATATTTACGGTAGGAAATTTACAAAATATCTTCATGGAACATGGCCTTTACTTAATATCCTAATGATTTTTAGCATAAAAGAAAAAATAATTTTGACCCATAAAATGTATTGTTGGCTATTGCTACAAATATGCCCGTGCTACTTATGACAGGTTTTGTGGTCCAGGGTCACATATTTGCATGTAAATAAAATTATACATACACAGTTAAAAACAATTATTTTGTGTGAACATTCACTTGACTATTTTAAGTATCATTGAAGCTGCATAAGCAGATGAAGAGAGATTCTCTTTAAATAAAGGATTGGTGATCTTCAAAATAGTTTGAGAGGAAACCATGCTGCTCTGGCTAATATATAAAGACAGAAAATGTTCCCATTATATGTACATTTAAACAGATAGTTCACCCAAAAAAAGTTCATTGTGTCGTCATTTACTCTCCCTCATGTTGTTCCAAACATGTATGACTTTCTTCTGTAAAAACACTAGACAGGATATTTTGAAAAATGCCTTGGTGTCTCTGATTGGTTGCTAACATTCTTCAATACATAAACTTTTATGTTCCACAGGCGAATGAAAGTAAGCAATAAAACACATTTAAACTACATGAGTGGGAATAAATGACAAATTTCCCCTATATTTAAAAAAAAAAAATGTTTTGCACTTTAATTTCTGTACCTTACAAATGTTTTGAAAGCAAAATTATATTATATCAGTCTTAAGCATCAGAGTTTTCCTCATAAAATCTCTTAAAAATCTCTTGTACAAAGTGTAAAGGTCCGTTCACACCAAGCACGATAACTATAAAGATAACGATAAAGATATAGTTCTAAAAATCGTTCTAAATATTAAAGAATAGCATAGTTCACACCACAACTATAACGATAACGATACAGAGGAACGATATCGTTGTGATCACTTTCAAAATGATTTTTTTTCTAGCTGATGAACGATAAAACACTGACAGCCAATCAGAATCCATCCTGCTGTAACGAGCGCAAGAATTTAACGCATGTGCGCTTAGAATAAACAGACGATATCTTTCGCTGGTGTGGACGCTATATCGTTATCTTATCTTTATAGTTATCGTGAACGGAGCTTAAGTCATTTTTTTTTAG